AACAGAAAAGAGATACCCCAACTGTTTAGCCGACAATTGATCAAAGGATCGATTTCACTTGCCCCTTTGGCGAGTTGTAGTGTGGTGCTATATCTTGCAAGGTTCACCAACCATGCCGACTATGATGCCGGCGCAACGGTCAGACACTGGAAATTATCATAGTTACTACGGCCTCTGAACAAGTTGCATTCCTCTAGGTCGCCCTGGCAATACAGCCACTTTGCGAAAACAAGGTCAAACAACTACTATTCAACAACTATACTATAGGCCTCACTATCTTGGCCCTCATCAATTAAAGAGACTTTACGATTTTTAAACGCATTATTTAAAAACATTTCCTAAATTTTCGTGTTGAAGGAATTAAACTTTTCTTTACCAGGAAAATTCATTATATAGTTATTATGTAGGACGTTATAAATATAAAAATAATTTTTTCGAAATTTTCGTTTTTAACACAATACAAAACTTGCATCTTTTTTGTTTACGCAGAAAATTTATATTTACTACGCTAATATCATTTTAGGGGAGGTTGCGCATTCGGGTCAATTAGTAATTAAGGCAAAAAATGAGTTGAGGATCTCAATTCAGTTAAGGTAAAAATCTATGATGCTTATATGATGCTGCGATTCATATAGTGAATTTAGTAACAATAAGTAATTTATGGCTTTTATATGTTTATTTTTAAATTTTACCTTGTTGATTAGCATACATATATGTTTTACCTGTTGGCTTTTTACCTTATACTACTTTGTCTCTCCCAACTTGGACAATGTTCACCCTTCCTCCTTTCCTTGATCACCACAAATGCGCCTTGTCTCCTATAGACGATAATGGACGTGACTACGTACTATTGGGTGATCGCGAGATCGATATAGACCCAGGATTCCGAATCTACTTAGTCAGCAAGTTACCAAACCCTAAGTTTTCGGCAAATCTTTTCAGCCGAGCCGCTGTAATTAACTATACAGTTACATTGATTGGCCTTGAGGGCCAACTTCTCAGCACCTTAGTCAAGCAGGAACAACGCGAATTAGAGGAGCGCAGAGAGCTCCTAATAATTGAGTCAAGGTTTGTTTATTTTGTTACTTTTCCTTTATAGCAGTTTTCCAATCGCATTTTCCTTGACCTATTTATCACTGCTTTTCTTATTGATGATAAATTGAAATCCTGTTGTGCTGTTGCGCAAAGTACTTGGTCGTGTTGCCAGGGAAACTTAGTTGTACGCACCTTGTTCGAAGTCTTCTGTAATACTAGTCATACTAATTCCCAATGTCGAACCGTGGCCTTGGTACATTCCCAGACGTTTCATCGGCATCTTATTTAGCATAGTGAGACCTGCCATTCTTAACTTCAAGCTACGAAAACGAGGTCAAAGCACTGCTATCCAGGAGAACGATACTGTGACCAAGACAGAGGACACAAAGTTTTGGTCTTCATATCATACATACTATGGACATAAGTGCATTCTTTATAGGTTTTTCTGAACATATAACCAAGTTGAGAAAACAAGGTAAAACTACTTCTAAAATTATTTTAGTTTTGGTCTTCCTCTGAGATTTAATCTAGCCCAATCTGGAGGTCTCTCACACGGAATAAGATTTGTGGTAAATATGAGA